CCCCCGCCAGCCAGTGCAGGCCCATGGACACCCTACCGCCCAGGCAGGGGCTGGGCCAGGTCACCCAACGAGGCCACACGGCCCCCATCCCAGGCCATCCTCAGATTCTAGTCCAGCAGACTGAGAATTGGGGCCCAGGACCAAAATTGCTGCCTCTGCTGCCCAGCCCCCGATACACTCAGTGTTTCATTGATCCGCTTCTTCCCTGCCCCAGGAACAAGCTAAGGGCCCTGCGCTATGAGAGCTGTGGCTTGGAGGGGCCCTGGCCAAGCTGAAATCATCAGTACAGGGCCCACCCCAGAGCATCTTAGCATGGAAGCTTCTCTCTCTCCCGCCCTCCTCCCCAGGTCTCTATCCAGAGAAAGTTCCCAGGTACAACAAATGCTGATTAGGTGACTGCAAATTAATGCCCTAGAGGCCTCTCCCGGCAGAGCGTCCCTGGGGCTGGGGCCGGCAGTATGTGAGGCGCAGTTGGGGGGAGTGGGGAAGAGAGAGGAGACAGAAACGAGGCCGGGGTGCCGGGTGGAGCCAGGAGATTTTCTAAGGCCTCTGGGGTCTTCTGGCTTCATCCCTAGAGGTGGGGCAGAGGGTATATATCCCTAATCTTTGAGCCCAACGTGAGGCCGAGAGCAGCGGGGAGTTGGGGTTCTGGGGGTTAGGGGCTGGGGCAGCCAAGCTGCAGAGGGAAAGGGGACAGACAGACTAATGTAGTGAGTGTAGCTATAGCTGAGGCTTAACTGGGAGGGACGCAGTGCTTGCTAGAACTACTGGGACCAGGAAGCGGGGATGGCCCCTGTGCCCTTGCTTGCACTCCTGCAGGGGAGTATCTTGCTCCACCCTAAGCCCCCTGGGCTGCATTCCACATCCACCCTCCTGCCCCATTGGGCAATTTAACCTTTTTCATGGAAAGTTATTTACAATAAAAAAATTTTTAAAAATAAAGTTTAAAAAAAATCTCAAAATGAACCTGCTTGCAACTTTCTCTGGGGAAAAGCATGGGCCAGTTTGGGAGAGGCCAAGGCCCAAGGGGGAATGGCTGGGAGGAAGATGGGAGGCACCAACGGCCTGCAGAGTGCCCCCTGATGCACTCCCCATGATCTCTGGGTCCCCAGAGAGAAAGGGGCTAAGAGGCAGTCCTCGGGGGTCCCCTGCAGCCAGGGCCTCGGCACCTCTATCTGTGCAACGGGGAGACTGTACCCACAGCCCCCAGGAGCAGGCGACAAAGGAGGCACAGCCCTCTCCCTGGCCCTGGGGACTCACAAAGGCCGAGCTTGCCCACGGCTCGGCTCACGTCCCCCACCTCGCCCACCTTGAGGGCCTGCCCAGGCTCGCCTGCAGTCCTCACCTGGGCCTGTGTCCAGCTCCTCCCTCCCTTGGTCTCTTCCTGAAGGGACAGGGTGTGAGGTCAGAGGGCCCCAGCCCCTGGGGTCCCACTTGCCACCCTGGGGTTCATTCACCCCGCCCAGCGCCTTCCCTCCAATGCAGGTTGGGGCTGAGGAAGGCCGTCAGGGGAGACAGAAGACGGGGTGCCTAGACCCTACCGCTCCAGCCTGTGAGGAACCAACGTACCAGAGTTCTGATGGGGAAACTGAGGCACAGCAAATATGTGACACTCAGCAGGCATTTTTCAACCCCCTCACCCCAGCTTTGCCTGGAACCCATCTCTCTCCCGAGCCCACACCTGGCCCTGCCAGCACGCCCTTGTGGTGCACAGCCCCCAGCATTTGCGTGCGCGCGCGCGCACACACACACACACACACACACACACACACACACACACACACACACACACACGCAGGCACTGTCCTACACAATCCTGCCCAGCCTCCAAGGGCCCCTTTCTCCTGAAGCCCCTTTCTTTCCATGCACTCGAGGCTGGCTCCAGGCCAACCTGGCATTCCCCCCCGCCAACTTGCTGCTTTCACTTGCTAATTATTCCAAATATTTCAGAAGGGTGCACACACTGCAGGGCCAGCCGGGTTGGGGCCTTACCGAGCTCAGGAGGCAGCCCATCCTCTTCCCACCGCTTGCTGAGGAGGCTGCCCCAGCCTCCCTCTGAGACTCCCTTCACCCCCTAAACAACGGCTCCTTCCCTCTCCCCACCACCCACTGGCACTGGGGGAACATGGGGGCTCCAGCCTCTCCACTGGTCCCCAGGATCAGCCTCCAGCCCCTGCCAAAAGGGGTATACCCTGGATTGACAGGTGGGGCCTGTCACTGTCCCCCCTCCTTACCCTCTGCCTGGGCCCATGCTGGGGAAGAGGGGCAAGGTCAGGGGCTGGCAGAACTGCCTGCCAGGTAAGGAAAGGCTGAAGAATCTTCTGGCTGCCAGGAAGAATCACCAGGAGCTCCTGAAAATCCCTATGCCTGGGACTAGCGTCTCTGGGGGTGGGACCCAGACACTGGCACTTTTAAGGGTCCGTGGATGCTGCCAACGAGCAGCCAAAGCTAAAAGGGGGCTCCGAAGGGGCCGGAACACAGGGCTTCACACACCCTTTCAGCAGGCAGCGTTTGGGGGGGGGGGGGGGGGGTGGGGGGGGGGGGAGGGGGATGGGCCCCAGCCACTTTTTGAAAGTGCAGCTGACAGGATTTCCTGACAGACCAGATGTGGGGGGGAGAGAAGGAGCTGAGTCAAGGATGACGCCAGGGATTTTGGCCTGAGCAGCTGGAAGGATGGTGTCGCCATCAGTGGGGTAGAGAAAACCATGGTGCTTCGGCGGTTGAGGGGATGGGAAGCGTGAGTGGATCCTGTCCCTCCTATTCATCCCTGCCCTGGCCCTTGGCTGGGTGGCTTTTTTAAAAAGACGTTCAGTGACTCCGTATTTATTTATAGATTCAATGTAATCCCAGTCAATATATATTTTGCACCATTAACAGTAAGTTGCAGACAGGATGCCCCGTTAGCACTAGATACTTTAGTGTGTATTTCCTTAGAACAAGGACATGCCTCCATAATCCTAGTACCACCATCACAATCAGGAAATTAACATTGACCTGGTAATCCCACCTAACCGCAGACCCCATTCACATCTTGCAGATCACCCCAGTAACGCTCCTCTCCATTCCAGCATCCCAATCCAGGACCCCATGTTGCACTGAGTTGTCCTTTCTCTTTTGCACTGTGTGGCTTTGAGCCCGTGTCTCAAGCTCTCTGAGCAGGTTTCGCATTTCCTTTGATCTCCACTTTTGAGGTGAGAAGCCCTTCAGCCACTTCAGCCGCAGGTGTGGCACAGTCCCTTCCCAGAGCAAGAAGCCACCTTTCTGCTCCTAACTTTCCACCTCTTCCCTCCCCTCCCTCCCCCATGTATCCCCAGCCAGGAAAGGGATGAGAGGGAAAGGGCAGGAACTCAGACTTTGGGGACCCTCCCCGTCTGCCCAGAGTACATCCTGTTCCACGGGACAGGCCACCCCCAGATCCAGTGACTGGAAGGCCCCCGGGATGGGATTCCATGCTGGCCTGAAGCAAATGCACCAGGCCTCCTGAAGAGCTGAGCTGAGGGCAGGAAACACTCTTCTGCCCACCTCTGCCCGCCTCAACACACTGGGGACCCAGACTTGCAGAAGGAGGCAGGTGAGCTGGAGAGCAGGAAAGGAGGCCTGTGAGGGCGGGTGGGAGGAGATGGTCAGGAGTCAGGCGAGCTTCCATCCTGGGCTGAGGCCCAAAGGTAAACAGGTGTATTTGGACTCCCGGCAGGGGCGAGTGGGCTGGCCCTGCGGGGCAGGCCTGGGCCTGTCAGAGGTGGGGCTGTGGAGAGGGGCTGCATTAACAATGGGGTGGGAGAGTGGCCCTGGGTCCTGCTGACATTCTTGTGTGATGAAGAGGAAAACACAGGTGACAAGGGAGGGGAGGCACTGGGACAGGGGAGGGCGCTTTGTGAGGCCACCCAGGCTGGGCCTGCGCTGGCCAGTGTGAGCCAGGGAGGTGCATGGAAGCCCTGGGGGGTCACCTTCCTCCTGGGGCACATGTGTCCAGCCCACTCTGAGGCTCCCAGGTGGGACAGGTCAGAGGCACCGTGACTGGCATGCTCGGGCCTGAGCTTTCCCTGTGAGTGCAGGAGCCGGAGGGAGCAGCTGAAGGGTCGGGTCCCCCAGAAGCCGACCAGGCTGAGCAGCAGGGCAGGGGAGGCGGGGTACACACTAACCAAGGCGGGACACAGGGCCGCAGGTCTCGCTGCTGCCCCTCACTCCAGCTCCCAGCAGAGCCGTGTCACCCAGACGCTGATCTGAGGGCAGGACAGCAGCCTGGGTCCGAGCCCCAGACCCCTTTCTCCTTGAAGGAAGCTGCTTGCTGAGCTCCCAGGGAAGCAAGAGTTCCAGGAACTGGGGAGCGCAGGCTGCTTGCATACATCCCACCCTACCCACGGCCCCCAAGACCCTTTGAAGCCACAGTGGTTTGCCGGCAGCCCTCCCAGGGCTGCTATTCGCCCAGGGAATTAAGCTGAGGCTGAGAGGCTGCCAACTGTTCTCTCCCCTTCACCCAGCCACCCCGCTTCTGTCAGTGGCTCTGCCCCCTTGCCCAGAGTGCCCTGAGCCCCACTCCTGCTCACTCTGCCTACCAAGCCCTATCCCTGAGCCCCGGGTGCTTCCTGATGCCCCCAGGGGTGCAGAGCATTCAGCCAGGGGGGGCCTCTGAGGAAACCCCATACTGCCCTGTTCTAGAAACAATTAAGAGGCCCCCCTTGCTGACTCTGTGGGCTTGGGTGAGGTAATAAAAGAGGGAGTAGGGCCCTGAGTGCCAGCTGAAGCTTGAGTGGGACATGTGGCTGGTGCGAGCCAGGGGAGGGGGGAGGGAGGGGGAGAGAGAGGGGATACGGGACAAGAGGGAAGGGCTGGAGGGCAGTGGGAGAGGCCTGGCCTGTCTCAC